CCTCCCACCCTGGAAAGGGAAGGGTCTGCAGCAGGCAGAGGCGGCCTGGCGAGCAGGACTGGGTGGGGCGTCCCGAGATCTCCTGGGGACCCGAACTCCAACTCCATCCCTTCCAGTCCCTTCCCCCAGGCTGAGACAGAGCACTGGAGAGGGGACATTTTCCAGCTCTGCTATTTATAACTCCAGCCCGGCAGTGGGGCCAAGAAGAGATAGGAAATAATTTGGCGCAAAGGGAAGCTGGCCTCCACACCTCCCCTTCTAGATCTCCCCCTTGCGGGTGCGGATTTGTGTCTGTCCATTTGTCCGTCTTTTCTTTCTCTCTCACTCTGGGCTTTGGCTCCTGCGAAGTTCTACTTCCCCTCCCTGTCTTGTCTCTGTCCCTTGGAATCTTCCTCAGACTGTTTTTCAGGGTCTCTAATGTCACTGGCCGTCAAACACAATGACGTTCTTAAGATATTCTCTCCGCCCCCCCTTTCTTAAAATCCCCAAGATGTGTCCTACCTGGGCCCTCTTCTCACACTCCCTTTGTCCCTTCTTTGTGCAGGATTATACTTTTAAAAACGTGGACAGGCCTCAGCCAGCCCCGGAACAGTCTTTGGGCTGGCTAAGTTACTCTCCATTTGCAGGTTTCAGCTCTATTTTTGCAACACTACACTTATGGACATCCCTTTCAGGGGGCTACTGCACCCCTAAACAGATGCTGTCAAGGCAATTCACCAGCTTCCCCACGCTAGCTCTGGGGTTCTACTTTAAGTACCCTCAGGTAGGCCCTCTCACCCCTTTTCTTCTGTCAGAACACAGACGGTAGCGCTGACCTGAGAATGTGGCGTAGTACAGTCAGGGCAGAACCCAGGACCCTGACTCAGCCCAGACTTCCCACCGGGGCAGATGCCTGTGGAGCCCCCAGCCGCCTTCCCCTGCACCTGCAGCTTCTGCCCCTCTAGCTCCACGCTACTGGCTCCTGCTAAGTCCCTGGATGAAATCAGATGCCAAGAATCTGCTTCAGACCTTCTCTGCCCAAATAGTTGAGAAGTCCTCTCACCCGCCACAGGAGGAGGAGGAGAGAGGGAGACAGAGAGGGAGGCCCAAAATAAGCCTGGCTATAAATAGTGTGGCAAGGGAGGGCGGGGACCATGCCAGAGCCCCAGACCAACCTAGTACATTTAGACATGTCAGTTTTCCCTCAAGTGAGAGCAGGTGCTGAAGTGCAGTGCTGCAGGAGAAGATGGCAAGAAGCTACCGGGGAGCCCCTGGTGGTGCAAGGGGTGAGCACAGCGTATGAAGCCACTTGCAGCCACTGAAGCACGAGTTCAATTCCCAGGCAGGGAGGGACCCACATGGCACCGCAGACCTCTCCTGTCTCCCTGCTGTTCCCTCAGCAGTGTATTCCAGTCAACCCACCTGTTCTGCTTCCCACTGTGTCTCTGGTGAATCCTCTCACCACCCCCCTAGATCTCGGGCCTGCACCCCAGCTCTTGTATGCATAAATACATAAATATTTTTTAAATAATAATAATTCTAAAAAAAAAAAAAAAACAAACTGATGTCTATATCCAGCAAAGACTTTGGCTCTGGTCAGAGAGGAAGATTTATCTTCTCCAGCCTCTTCCCACTAACAACCTTCTACACCCATCTGGGATTCTTTTTTTTTTTTTTTTAAGATCTATTTATTTATGCACTCAAGAACTGAGGTACAGGCCAGAGGTGTGGAGGGTGAGAGGATTCACCAGAGACAGAGTAGAGAGCAGAACTGGCAGATCTACTGAGATACACCGCTGAGGAGGGCCGTGGTGAGGCAGGTCTGCTGCGCCATGCGGGTCACTCCCTGGCCAGGGATCCTGTTGGAGGGGCTGGCCATAGCTTGATAGCACTAAGACTTTAACCCGTGTGCCCCCAGGGAGGCCCTCCAAGTTGACTGGCTGGGTCAAACTTATGTGTTGGAAGCTGCTGAGCTGTTGAGGTTGGATAAGGGCTGAGGGAGTCCATGGGGTGAGTGGAGAACTTTCCTCATTCTGGGAAATACGACTAGGTTTCAGGGGGCCCTTGGTGGCGTGGCAGAGTTCCGAAGGTTGGCCTGAAGCCAGAGCCCAAAGAAAGCGTGCCCTCAAGACAGTTAGAGTGGCTTCCTGCAGGGAGTGACTTTGCAGTCCTTCTCCACACGATGCCAGGGTTTCCTCTGGATTCTCAAAGACCAGAGCGGTCAAGTCATTTCCCTGTTGATTCCCCTTGATCACATTTATATTCTTTTCATCCCGCCTACTCCCAGAGTTTGAGCTTTAGCTACAGAGAGAATTCAGAGGCAGGCGGAAGGGTTCCCATGTGGCGGGGGGGGGGGGGGGGTTCTCACGACCTGGGATGTATTCACCAAGTCTTTGCTTCCAAATGAAGTGGAGGAGAATTTAACACTGAGTGTGTCCTGGAAGTGTTGTAAGCTAGGGGCAGCAGCTAGAGGCAGTGATTGGGGGAGCTGAAAGAGGGGAGTCCCAGATGGGGGCCCTCCCTGGTGGTACAACAGGTTGAAGCACAGCACTATGAAGTTATTTGCAGCCACTGCAGCACGAGTTCGATCCCCGGCCAGGGAGCGACCCACAGGTTGCGGCAGACCTCTCCTGACCGCCCCCACGCTGCTCCCCTCAGCAGTGTATTTCAGTAAATCTGCCTGTTCCGCTCCCCACTCTCTCTGGTGACTCCTCTCACCCCCACACTTCTGGCCTGCACTCCTGTTCTTCTACACGTAAATAAATACTTAAAAATAAATAAAGAAGGCTAATGCTAAAAGAGACCTCAAAAAGAATAAGGCAGTAAGTGGAGAAAAAGAATGTGAATTGCATTCATTCAGCCAAAGGGAAAATCATCTGGATGGGAGGCTGTACAGAGCGGTGGGAAGAAAGAGATTTCCCGCTTCATGAGTCATTCTCTGGGTGTGCGTCAGCCGTGTCCCGCGCTACCAGTGCCAAGTGGAGCTGAGCTTCCACCAAGCAGAAACTCGGGTTAGACAGCAAGCAGCAAGAGCCCAAAAGAGAGCAGCTGGAGGAATACGCTGGAGAGGGCAGCGGGGTCCCAGGTATGTCCTCTCCAGCTCTAGGGCAGAGACAACCAGTGTGTGAGAGAGAAGGCTGGTGCCTGCAGAATCCTGGCAGTCCCTGGGCTGACTGTGCCAATGTCAGGCAACTGCGCAAGGCGGAGCGGATAACACAGGCTGAGCTTGGAGTCTCCCTGAGTCAGTAGAAATCTTAACACTCACAGATGCAGCCCTGAAACCACCAGCGCCAGCCCCATCCACCAGCCCCCCTGTTTCACGTCCCCACGGCACCATTCTCTGGTTCCTCTCCCAACCTGCGCTTCTCTCAGGCCTCACAGCCCTGGGAGTCAGACACCAGGTGTCTTCCAATCTGCCTGTTTTGCTTGCTCATTGCAGCTGGGAGCTGGAGCCAGGGGGAGGGGGCAGGGAGGACTGTGCCCGGCTGCCCTGTGATGTCTCACGCTTCCCACTTCTGTTGACCAGCCCCCCCCCTCTGGAGCAGACCCCCCTCCTGCTAGGATTCCCAGCACTGATGTGTCACAGGCTAGAAGGGACAGTGATGACACAGGGTGTCTGTGGCCAGAGCACCCTGACCACACCTGATGTCAGCAGCTAAGCAGGGTGGGGCCTGGTGAGTACTTGGATGGAGTGAAAAGACACGGGAACCCCCCCAGTAGGGCTCTGGGCCTCCCCTTCTGGGGGCTCTCCCCTGGTTTGGGCAGTCTAGGACGCTGGGTCTCCGGCGACAGGTAGCCCAATGTGAAACCGCAGCTCCAGCACCAAGAGATCTGCCGTTCACTGCTCTCCATCTGAGTCTGCATCTGCAAATTGGGGGTGACAATACCTCACAGAATTGTTCTAGGGATTAAGTGAATTAACACACGTGACCTGCACTCAGGAAAAACGCGGAAGAGCACCTCAGCACAGGCACATCGTTTCCAACATTCTCACAGAATTTTTATTTTAGGACTTAGTGTTCTCCTTTGGCTGCACTCGCCCCTTTCCCTCGCTAGTCTTTGAAGGTCACACATCTCCAAGAATCGAAGATGCTACTTGGCAAGTGGTGAAATAAACAAAGCAATCCCTAACCCTCACCTCCTACTCTGCGGACTCAGCAATGTCTTATTCTAAGTCCAGCAGGCCCATTTCTCTTCCCTGGCAAGTTGATAAAATGAGGTCACTGCTCGACATGGGACTGACTCGCACAATAACAAAATGCCAAAGTCGGAAACAGCCTGTGGTGAGGCTTAGTCCCGGGGTCCTCAAATTGGGTGCCCATTAGAGTCACCTGAGCAACTTTTTTTTTTTTAAATACCTCTGCCTGGACTCCAGCTCTCAGAAATCTAGCTAATTAGTCGGGGCCTCGACATTTTTTTTTAAACTTCCCCCACAGGCCCTCTCTGGTGGTGCAGCGGATGAAAGCACCTCAGGCCTGTAACCCCAGTTCTGTCTGCATAAATAAAAATAATCTAACATCTTACCAGGGGTGAGAACCACTAAGTGCATCGCCTGATTTTACCAAGGAGAAAACCAAACGCCCAGTAAGCCCCTTGCACCGCGCCATGGGCATGTGAGCGCCCGTGCGGAGAGACGGGCAAA